AGTTAAAAAAATATGCCTCGTTTGAACACGCCGACCATCACAATCTCTCCTGTTCCGGGTCCTTCGCATTATTCAACTCCCGACGCCGGAATGCGTAGCACAATCGAAGCTGCAGCGTCACTTGATGACGTCGATTTTATTCCCAATTCCTGAAACCAGAACGCACTGCCCGTCGCACTATGGGGGACCTTGTTTTGCTCGATCCAGTCGCGCACGTTGTCGTTCTGGGCCAGCGGTCGAGTATGGCGGTGAGGTGCCCCAACCATCATGTATGCTTCCATTAGCAACAGGTATTTGTCTGATCAGTTTTCAAAATTCCAGTGTTACGCCTCTAGTTACCGAATCCTTCATCGATTTCCTCCTGTTGAATAGCATTTCTGTTGCCAACGGCATTGAACAACTGCTGTACAGCATGAGTCACCTAAATTAACACCCGGGACGCATTTTGGAAGCTCCTGGTTCCTCTAGTCCAGTCCAGCTGATTCCTGCAAGCGCTTATGTGACTAGATGTGGATCAGGGGTCTTCCAGCTTGCTTCAACAGGCTGGACATATAATTTGATCAAGACAATTCTTCGGCTGATATGCCTTCAAGTTACAGCACATCTTGCATGTCCAATGTTGCTTATTCCAATCCTGAACAACCACCGATGACGGCATACCTTACAACACCGATTCTGAATGCACTGCACCGAATCGGAGCTGCCACGTTTCTGAAAATGTCAGCCCAGAACGCATTGCCTGCCGCCTCATGGGAGTCCCTAAGTCTTCCAACCTTCGATTTCAGACAAGCATATGTTTATTGGAACCAATTTCTCGCCTGATCAGCCTCTAAGTTTCAGCGCAACGTCATCTTCACCACCGACTGAACCTCGCCTTTCCTATTGCCAACCTATGTTATCCGATGGACTTGTGGTGTATTATCAAAATGTTGGTGCCCTACGAACTAAGGTTGACGACTTCTTCTTGACTGCTGTTGAGTCCAACTACGATGCAATAGTTCTTACCGAGACCTGGCTAGATGATCTAATTCACTCAGCACAATTGTTTGGCAGTATGTTCTCAGTTTTTCGTAATGACCGTAACCGGATGAACAGTGCCAAATCACGTGGTGGTGGCGTCTTGATCCTGCTCCGGTCAGCACTTCTCTTGAGCAGTTATGAGTGAAGATTACGACATCGCACAACATAATAAGCATCGGCGTATGTACCTTTCTCCTGACCGTAAATCTAATTTGAGCTGCGTTGATAACATCACAACGATCTAGCCCTGCTATTTGGCGACTACAACCAGTCTGGACTTGTTTGGAATAATTCCACGAATGATCATCCAACCATTGACATTCTGCGGTCGTACATAGTTTCCTGCTGTGCTCTTTTGGAAATGTCCTCCTGTCCTTATGTCTATATTTAGACAACAAAATTCCGATGAAGAGAATAATAAGTAAATAGATAAATAAATAAATAATTCCGGGCAGAATGTTGATAATTTTCAGGTCATCAGCAACCACAACTTCTAACCTGTAGAGCTCAAACAGACCAGTCCATACTTTTCTTGAATTCCAGGCTAGTAACAACAGCTTTTTAACACCAGTGCTTTTAAAATTCTTCTCAAAAGCCTTAGAGCGTTCATTGGCTTCTTTCTGCACCAAGGATAATGTAATCTTCAGGAACTCGCCAATGCATAGTGGTTGAAAAGTTCATTTTGACGCTCTTAATTAATAGCTCCATGGAGAGCGGATTTAGAGTAAGGACGTCTTCAACAAAGTTGATGAGTATGACGTGCTTCATATTTTGAAGGCATGGGTTTTGTGATTAATCCCTCTAAAAGTGAAATGAAAAATTTATTTTTTCACAATGTCGAGATAAATGGTTGACGTCTTCAGCAAAGTTGTAGCAAAAATGATTACAAACAACTTTGCTGAAGACATAAAAGTCCTAAATTTCACTCAAATCTAGATAGAGAGCGTTGTTTGAGGACGGACCCCCCAAAACACGTTTTTCATCAAAACACATATTTTCTTTAATTTTAGGCCTTCATTATGTTCAACAAAGTTGATTGGTATACTAAAATACACATCATTCTTGAACATACTATACCTGCATCATTTTAATAGGATAGGATTGATAAATTTTATTTTATTTTCCTCATATTTTGGCCTCGCGTATCTTTCTTAGGTGCAAGAAGGTGCAGATGAAATCAAATGCATCTAAAATTACATTAAAAGAGCTTTCAAATGGTGGTAAATTTGTCCGTCCACGACCGTCTGCTTGGGAGTTGTGATCAAAACAAGTATCTATATCTTTACTCTGTTTTATGGTATAACCAGTATAAAAAAGATAATCAACTTCAATATATCCACATATTTGTTCGATTGGTTTTGCATTTTTGTTGTCATTTTGTATGGTATTCAATTATCATCATTATTATCATAATCATAACCATTAATATAATCATTATCGTTTCCTTAAGCTTCTTCTGCTAGCAGCTGTTTAGCATCGCTCGACAATGGCTTCTCGTGATTTTTAGGCCATCCACGAATGCTAGTAATCAATGGATCTGATAATACTAGGAGTCAGTTCAATAGATCACGATTTGTAAGCGATCTTTATTGCTTGCGGGTATTGAACTGTTGGTATCTGTTAAATAATTTTTTTATTAATTTATTCGTTGTTATATTGGTTAAATACATGTACCTCTTCCAATCCTTGTTCCTTGCCTCCTGTGCTTCCTCAGAAAGCTGACCGATTAGAACAAGGAAATGTTCAATCACGGCTGATCCATGTATCAATACTTTATGAATACTAGCTGGCAAGTAATACCAGGTTCGATAGGTTGGTGTCGATTAACAAAGCCAAAGCTTGTAGATCTGTGTATTCGGGTATAGGGTTGTTCAAGGACTTCTTCAAAGAATGAACCAACTTATTTTCATCTGCAGGACTTGCGTGAGAAACGGTTTTCAGGATATCCGTCACCTCTTTCTCACCTGATTCTCTCATCTTCATTTGTGTCGCAAATGCTAGCTCATTAAGATGGTAGCTATTCCGAACCTCTGCAGTTTTCATCCTCTACGTTGTTTCACAACTTTCTTCGAAAGGAACAAACTTCCGTCCTGCCACACTTTTGCATTTTCAGAAGTAAACGGAAGCAAGTTTAAAACGTTTTCAGGAAGTGTGAACGGCTTACTGAAATACTCGGCGTGACACTTGACAATCATGCACGAGCAGGTTTGGTCCAGAGCTTTTCAAAAAAAGTCGCACATCGTTTTCACGGGTTTTTCGACATGTGCAGCCACATCCGGCATAATATTCATATTTATGGCATAACACTGGAGTACCTTCTTATAAACGCAGTTGAATTTTGATGATCGGCCTCCACTCGTTTTTTACCAGAGTTACAAGAGATCATAAATAAATTTCAACTTAAATTTAATCAAGAAAAAAAAATCATTGGCACTTATTGTGATCTAACGATGAATTGAAAAATTTAAAAGAAATAAAGCCCTTCCAGATAATGTAATTTTACTTCAAAGCCCTGCTCTCGTAGCTTCCTCTGTTGTCTGGTTTCTTTGACAGAATTAGTCTCTCTCTCCTTCGCTTGGCTTCCGCAGTTCTTCTATCTTACATGCTTTCATATACTTTCACAATTCTCGATGAACATTTCAAATGGTCCTATCTGCTTTGATCGATTCTTTTCATCGACTTTCTCTTTTGATAACCACTGCTATGCAAACAGGTTTCGCGCTAATTTTGATGAAAAACGTGTTTTTGGGGGGTCCGTCCTCAAACAACGCTCTCTATCTCGATTTGAGTGAAATTTAGGACTTTTATGTTTTCAGCAAAGTTGTTTGTAATCATTTTTGCTACAACTTTGCTGAGGACGTCAACCATTTATCTCGACATCGTGAAAAAATAAATTTTTCATTTCACTTTTAGAGGGATTAATCACAAAACCCATGCCTTCAAAATATGAAGCATGTCATACTCATCAACTTTGTTGAAGACGTCCTTACTCTAAATCCGCTCTCCATGGAGCTATTCAACCCTATTCTGTATTTCGTTTCGAACGAAATTCTCATACAAAAAAATATTTTTTGTATGAGAATTTCGTTCGAAACGAAATACAGAATAGGGGTGATTAATTAAGAGCGTCAAAATGAACTTTTCAACCACTGTGCAATGACAATGTTGAGGAAGAAATGCTTTTTTCCAATGTTCCTTTCATCACAAACTAACTCAATTACACTTCTAGTTGCATGCTTTATATTAAATTTGTAAGGAAACAGCTCCATACCCTGTTAACATTCATCATTTGATTTGTTTGTATGAATAATAATAGAACAGTACAAACAAATACGAGTAGGATACAACCAATTTTGTATGCCAATATCTGGTATGTAACGATGCTTAATTATTTGTCGCGCGTTTTCGGAAACAGCTCTTAAATTCACTTTTTGGAGACACATGGATGGTGTCACGGAACAAAAAATTGCCAGCTAAGAGCATGAATTGTGGTGATTCTTCTTACAGGATCCACAGGATGCCTGTCCTGTGAAGGAAAATCCTAAGAAATTTAAATGTTCAATTTCAATTTCAATTTTTGGGAACGTAAGACTCGCAAAGCGATCTTACAATCTCGATTCAAGCGACAGGTAGGAAACGCTGCACGTTCCCGACCAGGTACTAATTTATCTGCTGTTAAAAACGGTCAACGAGGAACAAATTCTACATTTGTACCCGTAGGTACAAACAGCTCATAAGCTTCACAATCATCAAACATTCCACCAAAAGAGATTCCGGAAAGCAGTTTATCCGCGAAATGTCTTACAACCTTCAGAGTCAGAAGGCTCACTTGATCTGGTTCATTCCTGTTCCGAGGTTCCATTGACAGTACAATGTCAATATGATCGAATTCTGGGGGTTATACCAGATGGAAAGTCACGATTTCTAACTTTTTTTTTTAAAACCTAGTTTCTAAAATCAGATGCCAGTGTGTGCCTTACCTTGAATCCGGACGGCGCGAACGGTACCTCAAAGTTCATCGAGATCGGCGGTCGGGTCCACTTCTTCTTCGTGTCGGTCTCGAGTAGTTCGATCTCAGCCGACAGTTGCGTTTCCTTCATGCCGGCCATCCGTTTGATTCTAGAGCAGGTGAGAAATTTTACTTCAATGGGTATTGGCGTTAAATTGGAAAACCTTACTTCCACACAATGGCATTCTCCGACGCCTTGTACTTGGCCTTGCCTTTGAGGCAGATCAACTGTACTCCGGACGTGTTGAGCGGCGTCGGAATCTTCACCTCGATCTTCTGCCCCAGCAGCGATGGTTTGAAGTTCGACTTGAGCACCACCTTGACCTCCATTTTCGTGCGACCGACCTCGCGCACCAACGGAATCACTCGGAATGGCAACGAAATGTCCTTGGTCGTGCGGTAGCGCATCAGCTCGAATTCCCCATCCGGCGGGATGAAGCTGATCGAGTGTTCCGTTTCGAACTTGCTTAACTTTACGCACTGATGGAACTGGCAATCATCAATCACGACCACCGGTTTGCCCGAACGGGACGCTTCATTGTCCGCATTGCCGGAGATACCGCTGCGTCCCTTCGCTTCCATCACGATCTTATCGTTGATGCCGAACTTGCACTCGGGCATACCTAGGAGGGCGAATCAGAGTTTGGGATTCAGATATTTATGTTTGAATAAAACTACTCACCTGAAAGATAGGACTTCATTACGACCTTGCCGGCAACGTGTGCCGACAGGACTTGACCCTGGGGACTCATGAGAAGATTAACATACTCTAGGACGTCCAGGAATAGCTCATTCCGGCGGTACTTAATGCCTTCCCGACGCCAGCCGATCTGACCGGTCACCTGGGACGTGATTTGGGCCTGCTCCTCCTTCGTGGCAGTCTTGACACCCTGCTGGGTAATGAACGTCTTCAGCACGCCGGTATCCGAGTTTTGCGGATAGCCAAAGTCCAGAATTTCTGCGCGAGAAGAACAAACAACATCAGTTCATCTTGTTGCAAAAAAAAAAATACGCGGTCACCTACCATCTAACAGTTCATAGATCAGCACAAAGTTGTTCTTGATGTTCTCCTCAGAGATTTTGCCAAAGTAGGACTGCATCACGTCGATGATCTTCAGAAGAAACTCAAACACCATTGCGGCGTTCACATTCTGCTTGGTGACGGCGGCCAGCCAAATGTTTGCGCGCTGAAAAAGAAACCATAGATGATAACCGATTGTAGTTTTGACAAAACGATCGCTTCCAAGAAATAGTAGAAGCGTGATTCATAGATCTCACGCCAACTCACCTTAATATGGAAGAAGCTGGTCCTAGCGATGTTGGTCACCGGCGAGCGAACCTGCTGCCGCGCGTGGATCACATTCACCCGGAAGGCGTCCACCGCATTCCGGCCGATGTCATCCCGGTACACGCGGGAGATCAGCACCTCGCCCTTGTGATTGTAGACAAAAAGTCCGCCGATCATTGTCCGCTCCTACAACTCGTTTCCCTCCACGGATGGCGGACCACTTTCCACGGGTAGATTGCTTCTATCTCTATCAGTAAATTATCAACGTTTATCAACAGCAGCTAGCAGAAGAGAAGGATAAGGAAAAAAGCCAACTCAATAAAAACGCCCACTTGCACAACAATCTCTTATTCCAGCGAGGATGCTGCACTGGCAAGCAAGTCAAACATAATCAGCTTCTCACTGATAAGAACTTCGTGGCTGGAGAAAGTGAATTATAGAGCACAAATTGTTGTAAGTAGTGGTGGCTGCATCATTCAATCAATTACCGACTTCCTGTTTCCACTCTTCTCCTTCCCCCGCAGACCCCTAATCCATGGATATCCATCCATCTACACTTGCAACTTGCAGCATATCAAATCGGAAATCGATAACCTTTGAAAAATTAGCCTCTTTTCCAGAGATTACCCCCGCACAAACATGACTCGAACTAAAACCATCCCTTCTTCTCTGCCAGTGTCAATTACCGTCCCTTTTCCAGCGAATAAAAAGCCATCGTTTTATCCCTTCGACGGTCTTCTTCCGCCCCCAACCGCACTCACTCCTTGCACATTCTGATCCATCTATCCATACGCACTACTGCTGCTGCTGCTGCTGTGTCACTTGCCAAAGAAAAAAAAAATGTCTTCCAGCCCGACAATCCAGTCAGCCACCACCGACACTCTCTTCTACGAATTTCACCGGAAACCCACCGGCCAGTTTCTAACTTACCTTTGAGACTACGTTACGGGGAACACTTTATAGCACTTTTCCGCTCGAATCTAGTCCATTTTGGCCACGGAAATTACCGAAAACAATCAACCCACAAATCGAACGCGACCAGTGAGGATCGAACTTTCCTCCGCAACTTTTACGAGGCGAACGGCGAACGTCGAACGAATAATGACACAATCGAATTTTCACCCGCAAAAAAAAAAGAAGCAAAAACGCTCGTTTGGTCGAGGAATCGATGAATCGCGAGGCGGCCGATGACGTTTTTATAGACGAGTGCACGGATGGCTTTGAGTTCACTCACTCGACAAAAAGTGACACAACAGCGGGGCCCTGTTTACTATAAATGAAAAATATATGTGTTCATTTTTAGTAAACAGGGCCCCGCTGTTGTGTCACTTTTTTTTTCGAGTGAGTGAACTCAAATCCATCCGTGCACTCGTCTATGCGATGACGCAGGGGAGTGATGAACTCGACGAGTTGTTCGCAAGTTTCAATGCAAGTTTGTATTTACAGTTCCCCCCGCTCATTTGACAAAAAAAAAATCGTTGACAAAAAAATTATTGACAAGTTGACAAATTGAGAACATCGACCTGAATCCGATGTTGTTGATAATTTGTCAGCATTCCTAATAAAATTTGTAAGGTTATTTTCTCGCGGGATCGATAAAACTATCGTAGAAAACGAAGCTCTATCATTTTTTTTCCTTGATTTGTTTTCCGTGCTGAGCACCAATGCTTCCGACGCCAGGGAGGCAGCTCCTACACCTGGACCCTACCTATCAACCCATCAACTCATGAACCGGGGACCAACGGCTTTACTTCCCTCCGAAGGAAGGCGTGATCAGAGATGTTATGCCTCAGAACATCCCAGCGGCGCCGACTGGGATTGAACCCAGGCCTGCTGGGGTGGGAGGTAATCACGCTTACCACTACACCACCGGCGCCACTAAGCTCTATCAGATGATGTTTAATAATCGGTACACGGCGAATGAGAACGATCCAAATTTGAGTTTAGCTCAAAAGTGCAGGAACTCAGCGATGAGTAAATTTGCCTCATGTTTTCCCAGGTTTTTCCAGGATTTCCAGGAAAAAATTCCCGAATTTGAGAAAAGTAAAGATTGGATTCACTCAGTCTATTGGTACTACTCCGAGACTGAATAAAATTATCGTCAATTTCCTCATTTTCCGGCAGATATTTTAGGTTTTCCACAGGAAACCATGAGACAAATTTTACTCATCGCTGAGTTCCTGCACTTTTGGCGATTATGAGTGAACTAAACTTAAATTTAGGTTGTTCTCATTCACCGTGTATATTTTTCAAAGTTAAACAACCAAATTACGTACCCACGGTAACTGTAATAAACACGAGTGCTGACCGGTTGGTTGATACCCGAGGTTCAACCACAAATTTTGTTTATTTTGAAATAAGTACTTCATTGAGTCAAACACAAGGGGTAACTCGAAGGGTAACTCCTAGGGTAACCAACCGGTGAACACTCGTGTTTATTTCAGTTACCATGGAGACGTAATTTGTGATTAGCCCCGGTCCCTTTCAAATTGTATCATTATTTATGAACGGTTCTTATATTTAAAATGACGTTTCACATTCATCTAGTGATGTCCGATTTTCATTCGAATTATCGATTAGTCGATTAACGAACCGAAAACTAAACTATTTACAATCGGTTAGATCATGCCGATATAAGCATTAAAATCTCCACAGGATCATCACCGATCGTTTCAAACATGTGCTGCACTCTCATTGGTGGAAAAATGACAGGACAGCGAACAAAAAATAATCGATTAGTTGTTAATCGAGTAATTAAAAAATGGGACATCTCTGATTTTGGTGTGATTGTAATGAGCGCAAAATTTCATCTCTTCCGAGGGGGCAGCAAAACCACAAAATTACCTTGAATACGGGAGGTTCTCATTGGATGAAAGGGACCGTGAAAAAAGACACTAAAATAGAAAGATTTTCTTCCGACAGTTTCATCTTAGTATTCATCTTTGGTTATACCACAGACAAACAGACATAACACATTGAATATTTCTCACTGTAAAACATCGTCGTTAAAACATTACCGCCATCTGTTGAGTACACTGTGGTGGGCACTACGCTGAACAGATGGCGGTAGTGTTTAAACGTCAAACGCAAGGGAATTAACTATGCGCGCCACAAGTTGCGGTACTACCAACAACGATACTTTTAAATTGTCCGTTAAATGCTTGTTCGATGAACAACTTGCGAGTGTTATGTCTGTTTGTCTGTGGTTATACAGTCTTATGGTGGTAAGCTCCAATCGGTATTATCCTCGGATTAAATCCCGATCAAGAATGTCCGGCTGCTTTGATGTCGACATCAGAGTTATTCAACACGATGCTAGGCAAACACTTCGCAGATCATCCAAACAGGGACGGTATTAAAAGTTAATCCGAGTTGGAGCTTACCGCCATTAGAGCAACTATTACTCAGTCGATATTAGTTCGGTTTCACTGTCACTGCGTTCTTCTTTTCTTTCGTACCCTATTCTCACGGAGGTATAGCAATCGATTAGGGGTGTGCCAATGCACATTACATATGAAGGTGTGCTTATTGTCACTCCACATCTTGTGTATTTTTGGGTTCTGCATGGTGTTTCAGGGTGTTTCTGTGTTGAAAGAGCTGTCAAAACGTCAAGCGGCAATCATACAATGTACACACTGGCAACCATGACTGAAAATGACAGATCCCCCTGCGATCGTAGTTGGCGTTGACGGTGTCTCTGTAGCTCTATACTCCTATGGTAAAATTTAAAATGCAAACGTCAGACTGTGCATGGCGGACTTTGTACCATAGAGGAATCTCTAGCATGATTGGCATGAACAGTTGTACACACCAACTGCTCATTTTTTAATAACTTTTCACTCAGTTGTTGAAATTTAGTTTTCTTTAAAGTAATTGATAATTAGGATCATAGTTTACTGTAGACATGCAAAGAGTAGGTAAATCTTATCATTTGAATCTACACCAATGAATTTTTACACTTAAAGTCCGAGATGTGCAGAGAGCATTTCTCACTTCATTTTTGCAACGCAAAATCAAATACAATTTATTACTAGAACTAAAATCTCCTTTTTTAAACGTATCTATAAGAAGCTTAAACTCTATTCTATCGACTGATTCAAACAGAACTATGTTTTGTCAACTCTGTGCAACAGCGCTGCCATTTATACAGATTTATCTGTATTATACAGATTTTTTAATCTTAATACAGACCCGATACAGAATACAGATTTATCACAGATTTTTAAATTATAATACAGATTTATACAGATTTTTAAATTACAATACAGATTTATACAGATTTTTATAAAATGCTTGAGAAAAAAAATTCAAAATTTATAAAAACAAAATAACTTGCTCGATTTTATCAGCGTACTCCCTTCTCTCCCAAATTAATTGTTGTGCTAAAAACCATATTTTTTGCAGTGGGATCTGCTCGAGGCGTTGCTGTTTCTTTTATGCTTCTCTCACTCCCTCCAACGGAAAACGCAGTCACGCCCGATTCCACTGTGCGTTTATATAGCTGCCTTTTAATAACTCATGATGACATCAAAATTTGATGTATTTTTATTTTGTTTTTTCAGCATGCATGCAATAACATGTTGTGGCATACGGACTTCGGATTATTCAAGATGCTTCTCGGTTGACATGTACGAATAGACTCTTTATTCAATTTGCAGGTTCGGATCAGGAAGGTTCTTATTTGGTATTTGGATAGGCCGAAAGAATGTAAAATATAAACCTTAAAAAAAGCGAAGCGGCGTGGTAGGTTTATTGCCAAAACATTTGCTGTGCATATGCGCAAGACTTATTGCGCGCATATCGTAGCAGTTAAAGTAGGTTGGTAAACAGGGAAAAGGAAAAGGTTTTACTGTTTCGAAGTTGACTGAGCAGTTTCTCAGTAGGTCATGAATTTTGGCAGTTTCTATCTATGTTAAAACAGTGGGATAAGGAAATGGAAATGTTTCCTTTATTATGGTGATTTATGAAAAGATCTGTGTGGTAATTTGAGATGTATCATATTACAACATCGTAACACGACAATGTTGATAACTAAATTTGTAATCTAAATAAAATATCTATATCAAAATAAGTTATCAAGCAGTTCTCACTAATATCCTCGCTAATTTCAATATATGTTATAATTTTGATATTCTTCGCATATCTTTTAGCTCTCATTTTTGTTCTGTTATAGTACGTTCAGACTACAGAGTTATAACATGTTATAGCGCTATCTTGATGGTGGTTTCTGTGTTGTAATTAGTTGACAACCGTTATAACATGTTATAACTCTCCAGTCTGAACAAGGCATTAGCCATCAACTCCATCAAAATGAAATCAATTTGAGTTATCAGGAATAATGAAAACAACATAATTCTTGTTTTCATTTTGTTCTCACCCTCTGCTCGGGAACCTATCAAATTTCCATCGACAATTAATCATGTTATGGTGTTTTTGACAGCATTCACAACCAGAGGACCAACCGCTTTCGGATGCATATGGAGCTGGTAGTAAATGATTTGAGATTGTATGGGGATTTACAATATTAATTGAATATTTCCAATATAAGCATGTATCACAGACAAACAGACATAACACATTGAATATTTCTCATTGTAAAACATCGTCGATAAAACATTACCGCCATCTGTTGAGTACACTGTGGTGGGTAGTACGCTGAGCAGATGGCGGTAGTGTGTAAACGTCAAACACAAGGGAATTGACTATGCGCGCCACAGGTGGCAGTACTACCAAGTGAGATACTTTTAAATTGACCGTTAAATGCTTGGTCGATGAACAACTTGTGAGTGATATGTCTGTTTGTCTGTGCATGTATGTTAAATACAAGAAAAGTGCCCAAGCACATTAAAATGGTACAAATACAAGTACTCGTAAACATTTTACTTGCATTGAAAATGTATTTCGTAAGAAATTGTGGATTTTCTGATATTCTCCATACTGCAAAAATGATTTTACCAGCACTGGCGGGGCGACATCTCTCGACTTTTCGGTGTAACTACCACACAAATGATGTAATTAATTGTATTTATCTATATTAAAAATATCAAATAGTAATGAACTCGTGCACTTTTTTGCATTTAAAACTGCTTATCAGGAAGATAATGAATAGAAACTAAAATCTCCATACATTTTCAAACGGCTTCATATCACTCTTATAAATAAGTACGGACGATATCACAAATGGCGCAATTATATCCCGTATGGTTAGTACCATAGCCCGAATAGGTGGTTAAGCACTTTTTATGGTTATTTTGTATGCACTGTATTTGTAAAACAACAAAACATGATTAATTAAGAAAAAAAACGTCAATACAGAAAATACAGATTTTTTAATCGAGTGGATACAGATTTTTTATAAAACCACCTGGCAGCTCTGCTGTGCAAAGTTATTTGCAACTGAGCAGTTCGCGAGCAAAACTGTGTATGCCAAGCATGATCTCTAAGACCTGAAGGTCACGAAGAAACGTGCGAGGCATCACACCACCGGACGCTGCTGCCACGACGGAGGTTGTCACGGCCGCTGCTGACATTCGGTTACCAGGTGCCGGTGCCATGCTCATGCCCATACTTCGATGTTCTCGTTGCTCCACGCACCGTTCATCGTCTTGGACGAGGAGAAGCAGAGCTTCATAATGAACGGGAACTTTTGTGCCTTTGTGATCGATCGCGCTGTGGTTGCACTTCATGATGGTGTTCACCGCCGGGGCTACGCTCGGGATCTCAACCAATCCAGTGGAGGAACATTCCGATTTCAGCGGGAACATTCGCTCTTGCGACGGGTGGCAGTCCTTGGTGGTGAATGCAGTCAGCAGTAGATCCTCAGACATCCCGATTGGGAGAGTGAAAAAGTGGACAATCTTGCTCGGGAAAGGAAGCGATTGTTCTTAGAGGCACTGTAGCCTTGAAGCTGATCGAATTGTCCGGCAGGGTGTATGGGGCTGGTGGACTCTGACAAGTAGTTCTGCTTGGAAAATGCAATTTGAATTGTTCAAGGAATAAAATTTTGTTCATTGAAATCAAAAATATGTATGTTCATTATATAAAAATATAAATAGTTCAAAGTAAATTACACGTTTTCAACAAAAATAAGTATGTTTGAATTAATTATATGATTTGAGTAGTAGCTATACTGAAGATCCGAGAGATGTCGCCCCTTTAGTGGTCGGAAAATCATTTTTGCAGTATGGAGAATATCAGAAAATCCACGATTTGTGACTAAACATGCTTTCACAGAAGGAAACAAATAAACGAGTGTTTACCTTATCACCAAAGTAATGTACTCGTGCAATTTTTGTGCATCTAAAACTACCCATAAAGACGATAATGAATAAAAACTTAAAATTTTCATGCATTTCCAAATGGTTTCCTACCATTCCCATACATTCGAAGTGACTGGCCCTCTGGATGTGATGATGTCAAAAACAACAAAACATGATTAATTAAATTCAAAAGCATGTTTATTTCAACAATACATAATCTGGGTAAACAATTTTCAGTGTGTCTTTTTTTCCTTGTTGTTTACACGGCGAATGAGAACGACTCAAATTTGAGTTTAGTTCACTCATAATCGCCAAAAGTGCAGGAACTCAGCGATGAGTAAAATTTGTCTCATGGTTTCCTGTGGAAAACCTAAAAAATATGCCGGAAAATGAGAAAATTGACGAAAATTTTATTCACTCTCGGAGTAGTACCAATAGACTGAGTGAATCCAATCTTTACTTTTCTCAAATTCGGGAATTTTTCCCTGGAAAATCCTGGGAAAACATGAGGAAAATTAACTCATCGCTGAGTTTCTGCACTTTTGGGTATAAGGGGATTTCTATCCGTGTACGCAAGCAAGTGTTTTAAGCTCTACAAAACCGGTGGAGCCCCACAATATCAACGTCACTCTGTAGTTTCTGATGCCCATATAATCCTCACCCCCACCCGACGGCGAAAGAAAAACAGATAATCCCCCAACACCAAACGTAGAAAGAGGCCGGTATGAGGACCAGCATCAGAAACGACAAAACGATGCTAATATCACAAAGTTTCACTGGTTTTACTGAACTGGAACCCCCGGACACCCACTCCGACGGCCCCCAGTTCTCAGATCCAGATCCCAACACCCATAAACCACCTTTAATCGCACCGAAAAATAGCAGGAATAAAGACCTTTTTGACGTTTAATCGTCTTTCTCTATCTTGCACACAGGGATGAATGGATGGTTTTTTTCCCACTAATCTGTTTCCCTCTTGCTCGCACTCCTTCAATTTAAATGGTGCATTAGTGTGCGCCGATTAAACGTCAAAAAGCTCTATATAGATGCCCTGTCTGGCGATTTCCATTTATTTCCCGAAAAATAAATAACAGTGAAGTTTTCAGTGAAAACAATGCTCTAACATTAATATTTATTGTCGACAATAAAAAAGATTGTTATAATCTTGTACCATTCTGAAAACGGCAAAAGTGCTACCTAGATGTACAATGAAGGTACATAATAAAATGTTGTTACAATGATTTTTATCGTATTTTCATTTATTTTATTGTTAACATGATTCGATCATGAACAATAATGAACAACTCTATTACAATAAAAATTGTTGTTACATTAAATATTGATGTGTTTTCATTGTGGGTTACGTCACAAACAAGAAAAATAAATCTAACTGAAGCATGCAGACTATGGGAGGGTCAGCAACACTGCCAATGTAATCAAGATAGGCGCTGCCCGTATGGCTCTGGCTTTGACAGTTCGTTTGGCTGACTGATATCGGACTTGCTCTATTCGTTGCCAAGTCAATGACCAGATCGGTTTGAGTTGAATTCAACTCACCTGCCTCATCTAAATCCCGCTTAACGCAGACCTTTTCCGTGCAGTCAATAATCATACAATAATAATAAAAAATCCACCACTTGAAGATGTCAGGAAGAAATTCTCAGGTGGAAGCATAGTTCATGGGCGATTCTCTCCAGTCGAATGTATTAACTTATCAACGACGCTCAACCACCAAGGAGGCGTGACCTAGGGAGATCGAGTGCAGGGGAGTTGGCCTGCATTTCTCACGAGTTCCGGATCGAATCTTAATCCAAAACCAGTAAAAAAAGGACTCACCCGTAACATACATACCACCCCCTTCCCTTCCCGGGGTGATGTTTTATTTTTTCGATTTATTTTTAAAGTCGATAAAGTAGATCTGCAAACTTAAATATTTTTGCCGAGATTCCAACAGCCGAGTAATTCTGCAATTTATTTTACTGAGATTCAGTAAAACAATTGCCGAGACTCAGCTAACAAATAACATTTTGCTGAGCTGTCAGCTAACAAAAAGATATTTTGCAGAGATATCAGCAAAAGAGAATGCCGAGGTAATCGGCTTTTGGAGATTTTACCGAGCTAGATTAAGTGTGTGTCAAGCCAACACATACACTCTAAAGTACACTGTTATTTTTTTTAATCAATAAATTCGTGAACCAACAGTAAAATAACAATAATATATACTGTTATTGAAAAAAAATATATGGGGAAATCTCGAAAATTTCATTGTTAAAATACTTAACAACCCCCCTTTTTTATTGTAAATTTTCCATTTACCATGAAATTTACTGTTTAGTACAACATAAATCAAGGTAAATTTATTGTTGACGTAACAATATAAATCATTGTTAAGACAATAATTTTCGTCTTATTGTTACATTGTTTTTTAATGTATTTTTGTTGTTATTTTTTTTCGGGTTGCTATTCATTTAAAATATTATGTTTTATTTCCTATTGGAATGTTGTTCTAGTGCTGGATGCTGCGTTCGACAGCGAAGGCGGCTCCCATCTGGACCACCCTAGTAAACAAATACCATAAACGAACTGTATCCCGGATGGGTAAACTATCCCACATATGGTTTGGATGATACCCTGAACACGTCGTTAAGCTCTCTTTTATGGTTATTTTTATTAGGGCATGGCGGCAAGGCCCCCTATTGTCCAATGAGGTACAGAGAGAGGTGAAGCAGATCGTGAAATATTGTTATATTAGTAAACCAAAAAATCAACGTATACGCAAGTAGTGACGTCACTAATTCGACAGTGAGCATGCATAAGGGCGTAAACGCGATGATCGATTCTCTTCGTCGATTTTCTCTTTTGTTAATAATTCGCTAGAATTAACGTTTCTCGGTGCGTTTGCTGTTGCTTTTGATAGCCAATACAACCTGTTACAACTCTGCATTGAACAAATTCTAGAAAATTGTTTCGCTTAGCTGTAGCAATGCAAAGAGAAAATCGGTCAAGAGAATCGATCATCGCGTATACGCCCTTATGAATGCTCACTGTCGAATTGCTTGTATCGTACAGGGGTTTTACTCACACAACTAAACCGATTGCTTCACCTCGGTAATCCAGCAATGAGCCTCCCTAATAAACAAATACCATAAACGAACAATATCCCAAATAGTCGAACTTTTCCACAAATGGTTTGGATGATACCCCAAACACGTCGTTAAGCAAAATAACCTTAACAAATTTATTAGGGCTATTGTCTTCTCTTCCTCTTAGGTCAGTCATTAAAAAATCAACACCCCTAAGTTCATCCCTGTGTGCGACCGGTCTACCGACCGCCAGTCGATTGAAATGTCATTGATGCTGCTGTGCATCTGTCATCATTCGTCGCCCGACTCGGTGTCTCGCACACAGCGCACACACAAAAGAAGCAAAAAGTCCCGTCGTTCATCGTTCGGTCGTACGCCTCTGTTTCTACCCAGTGAACGCTCTCGGTCGGCTAGTGGTCGCTATTTTCTGCAAATTTTCCCCGAAAAAAGTGCATTTTTCTTTGCTAAATTTACGCCAAAGTGATAACAATCGATTGTGGAACCGATTAGCCGTGTTGATTTGCTGCTTACTGTTGATTTCGAGCGCTTTTTCGGTACTTTTCAGTACATCCTGTCTGCTTCGCTGAGCGCTGATATATATATTTTTTATGTTTCATTCTCTCATCGGTGGGTGCTAAGTGCAAGTATAGAGTGCTACTCAAAGCTCGTCCGTAAAATCTCCTCACAACGACGACGGTCGGACGGAAACGGGTTCTTGGTGCGTGTGTTTTGAATCATATTTTCCCTGTTCCCGAAAAATCAGTGCTAGTCGGTCAAAAACAAACAACGAGCTTGCTACCTGTTAGTGAAGAGTGTGTTGCACAGCGAAGAAGAGAGTAGTGGTCAAAAATTTCGTCTGCCTCGGATTAATCATCATCCACCTCGACGGGTTGCAGCAGCGGAAATACGATTAATAATCTGTTCATCGCCTCTAGTAGCTGCAGCACACAGTACCATATAACGGTAAGAACGATGATAATGCCTCGCCATAACTCATCCCGGTGTATAATCTCTCTGCTTGTTAGGACTACATAGTGGCAGATGTGAAGGGTATAGGGAACAAAGCAGCAGTAGGAGTAAAAATATCGATCCAAACTTTGGTTCGGCGGATTCACTTTTACTTTTTAAATGGGGAGATGGATGCCCTCTGCCCATTTCTCCTTCTGCCTTCGTCATTGCTGCGGTAGTTTCCTAGGTTGCAACCTTTTGCTCGTTCTGTTCCTCTCGTGGGGTTGGAGATTGTGATTGTCCTTATACACTAACATGATAGCTGCTTGCCTGCTTGCTGACCCCCCACGCACGAATCTACCCACTTATACGAAGGATGGTGTATTGAATGGAATTTCTGATCATTGCTTTACTAGGAAGAGGGGAGGGTTTTTTCACATTTTCACACATTTTCCTAGGATCGACATAAGCCATTCAGGCTGCTGAAGGAATATTGGATTCAATTAATGGAGATTTCATATTTCCGTAGTAGAAATTTTCAAGGGACTTCGATAAGCAGCGAGCATAAAGCATTTCATATTTTTTCGTTAGAATTTTGTAAGCAACATTGTAAAAAAATCAAAAGAATTTGATATCTTTTAATTTTGTCGAACCTTATCATTCCATGAAGACCCTTATCAAGAGCTTTTGAGTGAGTTGAGTTATTTCCTTATAATTAAAATTAAAAGGAATTAACTCAACCCACTCAAATGCTCTTCAAACGTACTTATGTCAAATTCAAGAATAATTCTTCAAGGGTTCTTCGTGGATTACAGTACCAGGAAGCAAGTTGCCGCCGTAGGTAACTGCCGGGGCAGCTGGAAGGCCAATAGCAGAGATACTCAATTGAAAGTTCGCTGTACTTAGTATGTCGAAATGGAAATCTCAGCATAACGTTGTTTCACAGCCTTCGGGGTTTATACGTATAAATTTATCAGCTCCAAGCTTACGAGCAATCAAAGTAGCAAACCTTTCAAAGTAACTCTCAGAGATAGAATAACCAACCATATTTTAATCTTTTGAATCTTTCTTAGACCGGTATTTTGTATTTTTGTTTGTAAGCAAGGTGGAATATTTTTGATAGTTTTTTAGCCTAACATGTCACAAATCTTAGATCATATCTCCATTTCTGGGATATTGAATGTACGTCGTCCATAGAGGACATTTTACACATACCTTACTGTTACACTTTTCTGTAATTTTTAGCTCCATAATCTTAAACAGTTTTTAAAACCAGGATCTTAAATTTCTCATTTCTCATTCGATATCTCAGAATTTTAAGATTTATTGTTTGTTCTCCTCCTTTGATTGATCGGCATTTTAGAGATTTTTAGGCATGTGATCATTAGGCGAAGTTTTAGAATTGTAGTTATGATTTTCCGTAGAGTTAATTCACTTCGAAGATAAGAGACTTTGAATTTCCTTAGAATGCTCCCTAAAATTTCTTTCACTTTAGAATGTTTCAAATTTTGGTAGATCTTATTGTTTTCTAAAAGAATTTCCATGCTCAATCCATCAATTCGGCCTAGTGTCCTTTCAACATTTAACATAAAATTTAGATTTTTTTTTAATTCTGAGACTTAAGAATACTTCAAGTATCGGACTTCATAAAATTATCTATATTATGGAGCTTAGTTCTACAATTTAGGTATATGAAACAGGGAAAAATATGTTGGCCACCAGAGAAAACCGGGAAAATAATTTATTTAATTCAATGGCTGCCTTGACTTGGCAAGTAAACCAGGAAAACCGGGAAAAAGTTGGGATTTTATTTTCACCTTTAAAACCCGGGAAAAAGGCAGGAATTTGACTAATCTACCAGGAAAATAATCTTGTTTCAATGATTTCAATAATTTCTGAATTTAACATAAGTGATAGGCGCATATTTCAAAACTAAAAACACCACATACCAATTTCTAAAAAAAAAACTAAACTAAACTAAAAATGTGTTGTAAGTTGTACAAAATTTACCTCAAGTAAGAGTTTAGTAAATGTGTTGCGTATTTATTGCTATATTCATGATTTTATTTTCTAATTAAATTGGATTGACAAAAGCGACGGACGTGATTCGTTGATCGCAGAATCGAGCAAAACTTGACCGGTGAGTATACCGTGATTAATTTCTGAGTCGCTTTCAATTATAATTACAGGATAGCTTGATAGAGCAAATCAATACGATACAGTGTAAAGTGGTCCAAAAAAATATGACTCCTAAACGAAAATATTCCAATACGTTTTCTTAACACTCCGAATACGGTGGGTAAAATATTTTACGCCGACTACGAAACCTCCGAAAAACGTGTAAATAGCAAGTTTGCAATGACATAACTTAGCCATTTCTTGATGAATTTCAAAAATTGTGGTACCTCTAGAATTCCTAGACATAATTTAGATTAATGGGCACAAATGTTCATAATTAGCCAGAATACAGTCATAGTTCCTATGTATCCTGGAGATAACGGAACGGTCGTCGAAAGATCCGGGGCATCCGTAAAAGTGGTCTATACATAAACCCCTGATCCTAGAACTCCGCGAAAGCATTAGGAACTGTGATATAAGAAATAATTTGGGGTCATGACAAAAACATGGACCTGTATGGCCATAAGACCGTCCTCCGGAAGATCCGAAACATCCGTAAAAGTGGTCAATTCCTGGACAACTGTCATTGAAGCTGTTCACAACATTACGTGCTGTTTGACTGTCTTTATAAAGCCCGATTCAAAGTAAATTTGGACGCATTCAAGTGATCATAACTCAAGAATTAAACAACATACACGGTTGATCAGAACGTCAAACAAAAGGGTATTTATTCAGCTTTCAAACGATATGTAACAAGTTATTACATTTCACCGTTTCGAACGATCACTTTACTTGTGATCGATGCCATCATGATCTGCACAGTCGCTGGTGAAACTGTACCGACGAACTTATTCCACTTTAAATGCATTTGTTGTGCATTTGTCACTTCTTTACCGCATCCTCGAAGTTTTCGCTTGACAATTGCCCAATATTTTTCGATCGGTCTGAACTCAGGGTAATTCGGAGGATTAATCTCTTTAGCGACGAAATAAGCATTGTTTGCAGCATACCATTCTAGTACCTCCTTAGAGTAGTGGCAACAATCAATACGAAACTAACGATTTTAAATTGGCTCACTACTTGACTAGCCTATTGGTCCCAAGCAAATCGACTTACGTACCCCATTCTAGTATAAATTCCAGTACTACACTGTGTTTGTTTTGATTCGCTATGAAAATTTGACAGATAAAATGAGGGGTTATTGGATTTTCCTATGTTTCGAGGGGTGCATCGATTAGCTTGGGACCGAAGATAGTACCAGAGCTGAGCCAAAAAGTTGAGCTCGTTCTTCGGGACCTTCTGGTCTTAGAGTTACCTCTATGGTAGTGGCAGCCCGAGCAAAGTTGGTTAACAAAATGAAAGCAAATCGATATTAAAGTTTGCAGTTCCTATCATAATAAAAACTCATTTTGATTTCAATGGTCGCGACATAAGTATTATTGTGCTTTCATTATGCAGTCAAAAGTTTTTAAATGAAAGCAACTTAACTTGAAGTTAACGTCTTGTTTAAAATTTAATTTAAGTTCATCTGTCGTTTATGTCTAATGATTATTGTTTATTTGTTTTGTTTACCACATTTTAGGTCATTCATGACTTGCCCGAGGTGAGATTTGAGCTCAACTCTTTCAGCGTGAGAAGCATGGATACTAAACATTTACGCCAGTTTGCCAAATCAGTAATCAAATTGATTTCATTGAAAGCAAGATTAGTTTTCCGTTTGATTCAACAGTGTAAAATTTTGCTCTCATTTTTGCTGTGTTAATCGTTAAGTCAACCAAAATGAGATCAACTGGAGTATTCAAAATAAGTTACATCATAATAGCAAATTTTGATTTCAATTTGATCTTCAGCTTTGCTCGGGAGCTGGCTAAATCCGGCCAAAACATTACGTTGGTCTTGTGTTGTCGAATGAAGAGTAAAATCCGCTTTTTCAGACACTCTTTAATGTAAACCTTCGACGTCATTGTGTGAGATGTGATAAGAACCTTGGTTTTAAGGCCACAACTGCAGATTCCTTGCAAAATCATTAGTTTCCGAGCACAAACAAATTTATACCTGGAAGGGACATCTCCACGACCAGTTGCCAGGTAAAATTTTCGTCCGGGGATTTGTTTGTAATCCATTGTGACATATGTTTCGTCATCCATTAAAATACAGCCATCAAATTTCGTCAAAACTCGTTCGTATAGTAATCGTGCTCGCTTTTTGGCCACTAAATTTTATTTCAGGGAGTGATTCGGATGTTTACTGGCACAAAAGGACTTATATCCTTCTCTTGAAAGGATGTTACTCACGGTGGAAAAGTTGGAATCGTATTTCTTTGCCCAATCACGTATGGAGACACCTGGATTGCTTTTCACGTACCTCAACACCTTTCTCCTCAGCTCTTTGTCCCTAGTGCCACTTTTATGATAGATGCGCTGTGCTCTATCCACACTCAGAGTATCTTTGTAACGTTTGATTACAAGACTCACCGTTGACTTTGGGAATTTTAACACTTTTGCTATTTTTGAGGCAGTCCACGAAGGGTTCTCTAGATGTTTGTGCACAATTAATTTTCTTTTCTCAAGTTCCATGATCCGTAATTTCGGGATGCGTCGATCAATCGAGAAAAACTTTCCACCAATTTCTTCGTCAATGAAACATCAACAAATGCCTGTCAAACGTTTTTTGTTCCAACCACCAGGGGCGCGGTGGTGTATTAAACCGTGCGTCCAGATTTACTTTGAATCGAGATTTATACCATAGGAGATCAGACCAGCAGTTCACTTCTCGGTTCACTTATAGATTTAAAACCAAAATGTAGGTTCTAGCGTGGGCTCGAGAGAAAGAGGCAGTTAATCAGACTCCATTAGTACCCTTAATTCAAGTAATGCCTGTCATATTATGGCAATGTC